ATTACTAGAAGCTAAAAGCGGTAACTAAAATTTCAATAAAGTTTCAATAAATTCCAATTACATTCGAATATACACGAGTTCACCGGCGAAAAATCGAAGTTTCCCTAATCCAGTGATCCGTAAAATCACATTCCACGCCAAACGAAACTATAACAAACAGCAGTGAAGAGGCATTAAAAAGCATAATCCACCGATATCCCATATTCCAGGCACTCCGCAACGAAACCGCGCAAACATTCAATCCCTAAATTCCTCTGGAACTTATCCGCAAGTTTCGAGATCTCCGCTCGACTGGTAACATTTCCATCCGCCGATGCCGTAATTACTTCGGAGGAACACTTTTCAGAATATGCCCGCGATTCAATCGAAGATCCCCGGAACCGAGAATGCCGCGTTATTAAGCGCGCGGCATGCCTGTAATTCTACGATCGAATCGCGTGTTCCGTTCGTTTGATAATCGCGGGAGACCGTACGACCGGGCAGCCAGCGGATGCAGAAGAAGAACCTGCCGCGGGTCTCGCGTCCGCGCAACAAGAAAGATAAAGCACGGCTGCTGTTGATGTCGTTGCGGAACGGAAATGAGACGATTCGAAAATGGCCGCAGAACAAAATGGTTATGTTCATGCGAAAGATTGCGGCGCCGGGGGTTGTAGGGTGGGAGACGAAATAACAGTGGAGCAGGTACAGGGCAGCTGATGATTGCATGCATCCATAGGATGATAGATTGCGATTGGCCGGGAGACCGATCGCAACGAAAGAAGGCGAGGAGAGGTTCCTTGTCGTTTGATTCCTAGATCTAGATGACCACATCGGCCACCTACGGTTCTTGTAATGATATCGATAACGACGCCGGAGCTGCGTACCAAAAAACCGTGCCAGCGGACTGGTACCTACACGCACGAGTTCCGAGATGGAACAGCTGCTGATTGCATTCATCGTGATGGATTGGTTCTCGGCCCGGTATACACGGCGAATGGAAGGTATGTAGTACCTACCTATGCCACGGTGTGCTTCCCGTTGGCCCACCTACCGCTTCGAGTAATAATACCGATGGTGAATCAGTAGGAACGTACCTGAACAAACATAAAGCCACCTGAAGGAAGCAATGCTTTCGCTGGCGAGGGCAGCGCACACGTACGCTTGCGAATCGTTCTGTTCCTAGGACACGGTGCTGCGACACTCTGCCATCGAGTTGTCTCCGGTGATGAATTAATGATTTGTCATTAAGAATTTATTACGGGGAAATCGTGATCGCGTGTCTCGTGATCGATACTGGTGTGGGAAGCGAATTGTCTAAAATATTGTAGCTATGGGATATGATTATTTGGTTTTCTTTGGTTTGATTTTGCTTGGATTGTTCGATTCGTGTCGGATAGTAATGGAAATTGGTAAAATATGTGATTGTTCGGTGTTTTGAAGGAAGGATGAAAATATTTAGATATTTTTATAATGTATTTGGCTGGAAGAAGGTTTGTTATGGTTTAATTACACTAATGTGATTTGAAACATATGGTTGAGGTTCACGTGTTTAGGTGGAAAATTGCTGATCAAGTAGATTTGTCTCGAAAGTTTGTTTTCATAGCTGTTTCGTTTATATGTTTTTGAAACTAAAAATAATTTATTTGGGTTATTGATAAAACTGCGTATTGCACTTAATTGATATTAAAATAACTATAAAACGATGTTACGAAACGGTTAACGAATAGTCCTACGTGACAAGTGTTGTATGCAGTTCTTAATTAAATCGTGTGGACAAAAATGTTTGTCGTTTTGTAAGAATAGTTTCGCGTACAACGTGTAATGTGCTCTTACGTAAATATTAAGTCTGCATCTATTTAATCATTGCAAAATTGTTTACGAAATGCAAACGTTATTAAAGGTATTAATTAAATGTCGCAATTTCACCTTTACGAGAACACGTTTGTTAATTATCAAGTAAAGGTTGAATCCGATTAAAGACACATAACGTGGAACAGAAGAGTCACGTTTCGTATACGCAAAAGAAAGAGATAAGCGAAAAATTAATTCAACGAAGATAAGTTATAAAATGTATCAAAGTAAATAGGTAAATTATAGGTTCAATATAAATGTTTTAAAATAGATAAATAAATGACGTATTAAATCTATATTTACGAAAATAGATTAAGATTAGATTCTTTAAAATTCCTCTTCAAAAATATTTCAGTGTCCATGCGTACTTATTCAGAAATAATAATTGTAAATTCCAAAACACTGTGTTATCTGTTAAAACTTTATAAGTCCACAATACTTCTTTCTTTAATGCCATAAAGTCATATAGGTGCTTTAAATAACAATAATTTAGAACGATAACATCGGTATGATATCTTCTCAGTGGCAACAATCGTGCGGTGCGCCCTTAAATTTTAATGTAAACGACTGTTAATTATGACATTCATCTAAGAATATCTAACAGTGTAATCGCAACATATGTAAGTATATAACATCGAGGCATAAAATAGCAAATTTTACTAGCAAAGACATTCACGGAAGAAGTAAGCGGCATGGTAAAGTACGAAGAATAATTGTCCGATTTATTCCCACTTGATTTACTTGCTAATAAATAAATAAAGTTTATCTATTACTGGGAAAGTCAGTTATTTTCGTTTCCATAGGCGATACGCCTTGGTTTCACCGTGCGGTACGTTACGGGCTCCATCTTGCGAGAAGAATCTCGTCGAGCTGCAGTCATAAATGACAAGCAGATACCTTTATTTATTGTTCGTGAATTACATAAAATGCGATACATTGCTGAATCATTTCTCTTTGCGTAAGAATAGAACAACGTGGACGGACCGTAACTCTTGTCTTTTAACTTTCGAGCATGCAAGTTACACTTATTTGGTTAGAAGTTCTCTGATTTCTCGTATTCCTCATATTCGCGGAACAATGCAGCGTTTTAAAACGTACGGATAGAAGAATGATCGTAGATAAATACAAAGCTACAAAAGTTGTATGCATTTTACAACTATGAAACTGCGAGTATATACATTGCCATGGAAGATCTATATATACGCACTGCCATCTGCAAGTTGAGAACTGTGTAAGATATGATGCAGCTTTTGTTTTGTATTACATGTTCGGCGCGAGTCTTTCAATTTTATGCATTCATAATCTGTAACGTATGGGGGTGTAAAACATTGGAAAATGAAGAATTTGACTAGTCATTTTTGTAAATCTTTGCGTGTACAATGCTTCTAGGTTTGTTTAACGAACTGATTTCATAGATATTACGTAGATTCAGTATTTTAAATCTCATTCATGAATTTGTTACGGTATCTTTATGTAACGACAAGCTACAAACAAATCTTTCCATTTCTGTTTAATCATCTACGTATCTGTCAGGAATGACTCGTAAGAATATGCGGTGGTGGGGTTGTACCAATAAAATTAAAGTATTTATATACTATAGAATATACAGGTATATGTACTTATAGATATATTAATTCAACCCCATTGTTAAGTATATTTATTCATTATTATCGTTCCTAGTCAATGTAATATATAATACATGACATGGCAGATTTTAGAAGTTTTATTGTTTATTTTAGAGCCTCTGGTATTTGTGACAAATCTTTTGCCTAATGTTCTTACATGATAAGATATGGTTCACCGGCTAAATTTTTCTCACATCAACTCTTTAACACTTACTTAGATTATCAATAGAATAATAAGTTTCAAATAACTGATTGCACTCTACAGGCTCCACTATGACACATGCAAATCTTGTCCTAAGGGCAATAAAAAATCTGACAAACGTTATTTAAAGTGGTATTTGGTAATTTGGGATCTATTTCATGATATAAAATATGTAGTATAATGCAATGCTTGATAACTCATGAACGACAGTACACGAATGCTTTCCGACGGGAGCAGATGATTGGCCTAACTGAAGATATATGACCTTAATAAAAAATGGTAATTATCTGATAACCAAATTACAAGTAAAGTGTCACTATAATTATTATATCAATAAACACATTTCATTATAAGATTGATTATTTTATTGAAGAGAAGATTTAAGCTAAGTCATTTCTTCTATTATCTAAATACCACAATCATTTCGGAAATCACTAATGAACGTCGTAAGTCTGTAATAAATCGAATATAAATAGCGAATTGTACTTAAGTTTCATACTTATGAACATTATTTTACAGTGGTATTCAATCTAACGATAATCCGACGTCTCTTATTTAACCCATTCGACACTAAAACTACCGGACAGGTCAAACTGATCCACTCGAGAATTATTTTGCAAATATTCACATTACGCTGACGTTTTTGCGATAGATTTTCAATGGATCTGTACAAACACAAACCCAGGAGACCCTCCGAATCTCAAGAAACCCATTGTCTTAATGTCTATAAAAACTTACAAATAAATCACTCTCATTGCTTGATAGTTTTAGTGTTAATCGCTAATTGCTCGTTCGGTGGATTGGCAATTTCTAACGAATAACGCGCCCGCTTTCGCCCGTCGACGAGCGGAGCGGCCTCGCGTCTATTTACGAGCGGAAACGTTTCGGAACAGCGAAATTCCATTTAAACGGTCGCTTCCATCGGCTCGAAATCCGCGATAGAAACGCCGACGGATTAAAATACAAATGGGCCTTAAATACGTTATCGGCGCGCAGCCGAAAAAGTCCCGTTGACGTAAATAAGCCGGTTGGAAAGGCAACAATGAACCCGATCGAGCATAAATACAGCGCGGCAGCGGACGGAAAGATTTCGCGCAGGAATCGGTTGCACTCGCGGCCAGGGAAAAGAGTTCTGCCGGGCAAGACAGATAGGTATCTGGGCGTCGGGTAGCAGAAACGTTTCAGGAACGATAAGTCCGTGGCCCTGGCTGGCCAAGATAAACTGGACGATAGTAATAAACGGTTCGCTGTTAGGCCGCCACGGGGGAACGCGAAATTATTGCGGCGTATGCCGGTGTTATCATTTCCTATCGCGTTATCTATTACGCTATTGTGAACGATGCGGCTCTGGTTGCAGTTCTTTGCTAAATCCGCCCATTATCCAATACGGGAGTTATTATTGTCGTCGCTGTGTGGTCCAACCACGCGGATACTCTGCTCTCCGCGCGAAACGTATCACGTATTCGGGAATATGGACGTTATAGAAGAGGTAATGGTTTTCTGATTTTAGCGAGGATTTTAACGGTTGGACGTGTTCGTGTGTCTGACATGTCGATCGTTGCGAGAATTTTTAGCGGATTTATTGTAGCTCGTCAAGATTGTTATTAATATAATCGTAATATGCTCGTTTCGAAGGGATTCAAAGGTAAATTTAAATTTATATTAAATTTTATGTAGACTTTTAAATATTTTCGGTATGGGTATTAATAACAATGCAATTGTAGTGTAAAAATCAAGTGAAACTGCTCGTGGAAGGAACGTATTGCGTTCAGCAAAAGTTATTGAAAGTGATGCCGACTGTTCGAACGATTAAAGGAATTGAGAGAGTAAGGAAATAATATGAAGATCGCATGAATTTATTTGGTAATGTAATATATCACTGTACATATTTGAAATATGCAAGAAGCTTATAATAATTACATACCAAGGAGTATGTACTATACTTTGTGCGAAGCATTTCAATATCAAAGAATAAATTATGTACACTTGAACTGTACCAGTACATTCACATTTATTCTGTTTCATGAAATTTTAATATATTACGGTAGGGACAATATATGCGCGTACATATTGAACAAAATAAATATCTGAAGAGAAAGTACAGAAGTATATGTATATTGTCATACGTAGATGAATACTAATTGATTACCTACCGTAGATTTCAATTGCGTTCGACTCAACGTCTAAAACCTACAAGTTAATTCACGAACTTTATCAAGCTGTTCGATAATAACATTTTCAGTTACATTTCAGATTCAATTTACGCGACCAGGGAAAGCAATATCTACTAACACTAATGGCCTATAACTGTCTCCTCGCGCGGACTAAATCCGTGCAGAAAATGGTGCCAGCACGAATCGTCCATTAACACGTATCAGTAAAAGACCTAATTAAAACCGCAGTGTACAATAATTCGTGGCTGTTGTACGTCGATCGTAATCAATAAGGGTAGTAAACTTGTCAGTGAACGATTAAAGTGAGCTGACGTTAAAGAGCTCGCTACATTGTTCGCTGTTTGCTAACGAGTTCGCTGTGCACCTATTAAAACCGTCCCGTCTGATATCGAAACAGTGGAAATCAGCCGTGTGTTGCTGCTCACGAGGCACTCTAATACAAAAAACATGAGAACTCTAATAAATAACGTAACCTACCAAGTTCATCGGTACAGCCGATGCTCGTAATGCGAGTCACGAATCGCTCGCTTAATAGCGAGTTCACTCGCTAACGAGTGAACAGTCAAGTAGATACGTGTAAAACACCTAATTCCGCGGCACTCTAACAGCACAACGTTTCCATATTTCATGTTAGGTTGAACACGTTGACTGCCATGAAAAACTCCAGCGTTCCAAGTATCACTTCCTTTGTAGCTAAGATAAGAATGATTAATTATTCATCACAATTTCCACGTTACATTATCTAGTTATTTGAGCTACTGGTTATTTCTATTCAACATCAGCTATCTCGTAAGATATAATTAATTTCTAGAAACTATGGAATCATCGATAACCACAGTGGCAGTAACAATAATCGTACCGAGAACTGGTCGAATGGCCAGATGTAAAATTCCGCGTTTCCCTTCATTCGCTTTATATCAATTCCTATATCGTCCGATTCATCAGTTTCTCAATTTTTCTCTTTCTTTTTGTTTCTATGCTCACTAAGAAAACAGTATTAAAACTGCCAGCACGGTTAGTGTTAATAAAGTAGAATTCCAACCAGATCGCAGCGAACTAAACAACCAGTCAACATGAAGACGTCACATCTAAAGTAATCAGTGAAAGAACATTACAAAGTCCATTACAACCCTCGTTACATTCACACATATACATCGAACCGAAACACCAGAGTAGAATAAACATCGACTGAAAAACCAGCGCGAGCGGTAAAAACGACTATCGGTTCAAAACGACACCATTCTCGATCACTGGAACGCGCGCAAAGAAATCACCGACAACGATCTAACGGTGCGACGGCCGACACGAAATAGATTTCACAAGCGGCGACGTGTCATTAAACGAACCACTTCCATCGAAAGATAAAGTGCAATTAATTAGACAGGCGTATCATGAAATTACACGTTAACCAATGACAGACAGGTCTACGTATACCTACCTGCGTATTTCAAAATGGTCCCGATAGGCTCGCGGAAACCGTAGACGCGGTTCCTATCGACGTCTAAAGTGCGCCCTCTCATTATAAGGTAGCTCCACTTATCTCGATGACGCAGCTCTCTTTTTTAATCGGCCACTAACCGATCGATCGAGCCGCGAGAATTATGCCAAGACGGAACACCTTACAACTAGGTAGGCAGTCAGACAGTCAGGCAGGCAGGCAGGCAGGCAGGCAGGTAGGTAGGTAGGTAGGTAGCTGGTCGCCGACGCCTCGCGCTCCAGCAATTTGTTTAATCAGCGCCGTAGATTAATGACTTAGGCAGGCTCAGTCTTCTCGCATCTCCGCACCCCCTTTCCCTCCCTCGCGCCTCGCCTCTCCCCCACCGCGTTCATCGGAGGAAATTACTGATTTATGATTACATTTATTACATCCATTTTTTTCGTCGGGTGTAATGGTCAATCCTGGAGGGATAACGAGCTCCGCGGAACTTTTTACGAAGAGAAATTCCGCGGCATATCGAAATTGGATAGTTACGGGGCTTTCTGTGAAACGTGACTAAATGAAGCTTTTAACTTCCCCCGCCGCTGCTGCTGCTGCTGAGCCGACTGTATTAGCCTGCGCGGCGCGGCGCGGCAGTTGTTAGCGACTCATTTCTCCGTTAACTCGACAAGCGATTGTAGAATGCGATTTGAGATATTGCACCATTCGTAATTATTCCGGCTACCGAGCGCGTCAAGGTAAGAATTGTTGCAGGTGGTTACAGAACTATTAGCTCCGAGGACTCGTTGTGTCCGTTACGTGGGGATGATTAGTGTTTAGGATGAACGGGAATGCGGCCAATAATTATAATTGACCGGATGGTAGCGTGGAACGACTATGGATGTGTGTTCTCGTTAAATCGCTGGACGTTGATTTATTTCGGGGAAGTATTGTGGACGTTGGGGGGGCATGTAATTTTTGATGGGAACCTCTTCGTTTTACTGCTTTGAGAAATGATATTGGATATACGTACGTGCTTAATAATTTTTTAAATTCTTTTGGGGCAATTGCGGTTGTTAATATAATTTTTCGTTATTCTGTTAACTACCGTGATGGTATTATATATATATTAATATTTTGTTTTTATTGAAATATTTTACTTTTACGTGGAAACGTTTATATTTGTAAATGATTCACGATATTTGCTTTATAGAAAATCCATAAAGAATTATGGAAATATCGTTATCTTAATTATTTTGAACGATGATTTTTAAGTAAAATGAATGTACTAATAAGGAGGAAATTTGAAATTATTTGCACGTACAACATAGTACATAAATGAACTTTGAAAATTAGATAATAATTTGATTATTTTACAAACTATTCATTATGTACTGATATACAGTATTTAATGTATACCGATATTAATAAAAATTTCGCATAAAAAATCTTATGCACAATTATAATAACTATTAACAAAAGAAAAAAGTTTATCAACAAAAATCAATTAAAATAAGTAGTAAACCAGTATCGTTCATTTTTATTTACTGAGCACAACATACAAGAAACTAAATTTGCAATCTATCCTTGGCTATTGATTTACACACGTAAATATGTTAAAAGAATTTCATGTAGAAGAAAATTTTCAAAATTGTAGTCAATTTTTTACTATTAATACACAGCTATTTTCATTCTTTTCTATCGAACAGAATGTGATGCGATTTACCTCGATCTACCATCTTTACTGTCCTAGACCGAAAATAGAAACTTCACGCTTCAAAATGAACCGAAGCAGAATGTTGCGAGACCTTTTCGTAGAACGTTACACGGGTTCATGCATCTCCGATTGCCTCTCAGCGATTCTTCAATTTTGTAAGCCAGTGAACAAAGAGGAAAACCCGGTGAATTTGATAATGCGTTATCAAGGACACGAGTGGAACTCGCCGGAATCGATTATTCGCGATCGCTGGCAAGATAATGGAGGACGTTCCGCGAGGTTTTTCTCGATTTCGAGCGGAGCAGATCTGCACGGGTATCTCGACGGTGTAGAATTCTGTAACATCGAACGCCTTTTTTCTCAGCGCGGCTCGATAAAATCACGAACACGTACCGATTTCTCTCGTGGCCGGGGAATATTCTTCGTCGAAGCGTTCGAGGAGCCGCGGATTCGGCGAAAGAATGCGACGGGAATGTAACAATGTTGGCCGGATGGTTTGCACGTGACAGCAGGCCAGCAATCCGGGAAAGGAAGTTTCTTAACGGCACGTACGTGCCAACATACGCTCACGTACGTGCCGATGAGTACTCGGGAATACTTACGTGTCCGGTATCCAACCCTGCTGCACTTCTGCACCGCCTTATCGATATCGTTAGGCCTGATACACACTACCGGTCTGCTCAAAATTCTTTATGCGTCTTTTGGCTTTAATGGCCAAAGATGAAGCGAGATTGAAGTTAGGTCTGGCTGAGATTCATAGTGTAAACATGTGCATTATGCATAGGGATTAACCAGTTAACTGTGGAATTTAATTTCAAAAATCTCTGATATTGCATTCGCAATGAAATCAAATAATGATGTGTATACTCGTCAAACGGATGTCGAATGCACCTGTGATATATCGTAACGAAAAGCTGAAGCGAAACGAAGAAGAATTACTTGTTTATATGGAAAAACAAATAATTGATCGTTGAAGGAATTAGTATTGTTTTGATTTTAAGGTGACGCGTATATTCGTTGAACGCAGTTAACTGGTTAGAGATGAGATATTCGTATCATTCTTGAAGTGATTACGGAGAACTGAAATAGAGTCACAATGTTATTTCGTTTTTTATATTTATTCTCTTTAATTTGTATCTTTTTGTTTAATTTATTTATTGAATTAATGTTATATCTGGCTCAGACTGGTATAATAACGGTGGTGACTGGAGCTTCCTAATTGCTTGAAAACAATTGCAAAAAGAGAAATGATGTCGAAATAAAATATTTAATAGATTAAGTAACTAAATAATAGTGCATCTAAAGAAGTACAATACTGAACCGTTAATAACTAATGTTAAATGTCTCAAAACTCTCGTGGCGGTCAAAGTGATAAATAAAAAAATTAACATTGAATACGAAAAATTAAATAACAGGACTTTATTTCGCTTATCCGTAACTGTTCCAATAGGAACCGATACATAACAGTTTCAAACAGTTATCTTCGGAACGTTATAAATCCTTGATTATAAACAACTGAAGAATATTTGATCGAATCGAGAGTGAGGTTGAGACCGGATCGAGACCTGATGGGTAGTGTGTATCGGGCCTAAGAAGGAAAGTTCGGGCTTAATGGAACACGATCGGGATAAAAGAAGGAAATAACACCTTTAGTGGTTACGCTTAGAGTACAGTTAGATCAATCGTTGGATATTGTGTCGGACGCTACCACGATGGCTCCGAGCGTCCAATGCAATAACGGATGTGCAAGGAAATGTATTACGTTATTTCTGATGACCCAATCAGTCCACGTAGTACTTGATTCATCAACTGAATTTCACGGCGTTAGATTTTCTTGGAGTATAACGCTGGATCGACGGTGCGGTTGAATCGGTAAATTATTATTCTTTTATAAAAATCGTCAGATTCCAAAAATTTGTTATTTTTGATCATCTGATAAGAATAGATACATGTAATGGTCTAGACAAGTGAGACGATATAAATCTTTTAGGTATATAAATATATTTAAAAAACAGCTACTATATCCACAACAGTATTCTTTTAGTCACAATATTGTCGCTTTAGATGTTAATAGAACTTCTTATAAGAACACTATCGAGTGCTATAGAACACTATAGAACGCTATATTTCAGAAGGAACTTACATGCATCTAACTAGCAAGACTAACACAATCACACTGCGAATTATCTACACCAATCTAAAAATGAATTCCTACAATATCGTGTCAAACTCGCGATGAAAATTTTAAACTGAATTTGACAAATCTCAGTACTATTTTACGCATATAAATTATATGTTACTTCAATCGTAAACCCTTGAAGGAAACGTATGAACAGAACGAGTATGAAATTCTTTTCCTTCCCTAATAAATTATTAACGATAAAGCAATGTTATCGAGCGCGGTTGCGAAAGAAATCACAGGGGGTTAATGAAGGAATCGGTGGAAATAGACCGCGGAGAGCCGTAATTGCGAGAGCGTAAAGCAGCGAAGGATAATAGAGAGTAAGCGTGCATCGATTAGCGTAATAATCTCAGACCTACTGGGTGAAGCGTTATTATCGATGAAAAACGAAGTTAATATGCATCGAGACAACGGAACGGGGGATTCCAATGGAACAGAGGGACGCGCGATAATGCACATGTTCCCACTAAGAAATTCTTGTTAGCGGAGAGCGAGCGGGAACCGTGTAGGAGAGGAAGAGCGGCGCGCCGAGTACGGACGGGTTCGAGAAAATTAAGGGCCCATTTACAATTACGATGAGAAGTTGATGAAGTAACAGTACGTAAAGCTCATTAACGGGATACGGCAACTGTGCGCCGTGATTATGAACGTTGATTGCATATGTGTAACTCAGTTACCGGCAGTCGACCTTAAGAAGTACGGTTAATTGTAAATGAAGCACGCCGCAATTTACCATGTTTAATTGAAACCACGCGCAACAAGCACCGCTGATTGGTTTCTTTCAGGGACGGGGATGATTAATGTGTCTATTCCGATCAACACCGCCGGCAAACAGAAACGAGACGAATAATTCTTTCGCTCGTCAGTGCGCCGAGTGAAAATTGCGCTTCCGCGGTAGCGATTCGCCACTTGTAAACCGACACGTTCTGGTCTTTTCATTAGACATACGCGGTGTCTCGTAATATAGTGTAACACGGTTGCTTCAATGCTGCATTCGGCATTTCAGAGTGATGTAGAGTGTTCA